CTAGGCACATGTATTGAACCACAAGTATACAAAGCAAGCATTATTTGATCATGAAGTCAAAAGACAGAAACAAGGCAGTCCCAAAACATGCATATTTCTAGTTTAGAGCATGGCCAAAAGATGCTAACATGATGGACTAAAATAGCATGCAACATTGGCTAGCAAACATGGTTTACATGGCATGTATATGAAGCAAATAAGAACTCATCAAACCAGCCAAAAATAGTGAATAAAACATGCCAAAATATACCTGAATAATCACTGAAATGCAGCCAATGCATGCAAAAATGAGGGGCTTGTTTGGAGGGCCTTACAAGGGGTTATTAAGCACATACAAGATAGATTTGTAACATGGCAAAACCACCTCTGGAAATGAGTTATGAAAGCCCTAAAACTCACCAAAAATGCCCTGAAATTAACCTAGGAAGCATGCAAATGAAAAACCCTTTGAAAGGCCTTGAGTGGGATTGTTCTACACATGCATCATAGACATAAAGTATGGAAAAATGGGCTCTGGATAGAGCTTATGCAGACCATAAAACTTGCAAAATGAGGCCTGAAACATGACTTAAATGCATGCAAAATAGAATCCCTTTGGAAGGCCAACAATGCTAGTAAAGAGAATGAGGGGTGAGAGGGTCACCCCTCTATGATTTTGGAGCTCAAAGACACATCAAGGCCACTGAAAATCCACTGGATTTCAATGGCTAAGGGGCCAAAACAAGGCCAATGCAAATGCTCATATGCATGGCTCAAAACATGGGGAAATGAAGCATGTAAGGAAGAAAATGACTCCAAACAGAAAATCGACCTCAATCAAACTTAAAGAGGAGGTCAAAACAAAACTTTCTTCAATTTAGGTCGAGGTCCAAAAATGCTCAAAAATAAGGCTAATATATCATGCAAAATAAGCCCTAAAAGAGAGATAAAGCATACAAGGGGGTAGGAGACCTCAAACATAAAAGTACTCTTAAAAAAACATGAAGAGGAGCTCAAAATAAGCCTATTTTCAGTTTACACCAAGGCTCGAAAATGCTTACAAATAGAGCTAAGGTATAGAGAAAAATAATACGAAAATGGGGGAAATGAGGACTTACCCTTGTAGCACAACAATGCAGCCAACGTCGAACCAAGAAAGTGAGCTTTGAACCTCTGAAAATGAGTTCCAAGGTGCTGGAATGGATGATGGAGGTGTTAGGCTTAGAGCTGTAGTGTAAATGGCCAAGAAAATTAGGGTTTGGAGCTTTGGAGAAGAAGGCTATGGAGGGTGGAGTGCATATGCCTTGGCCAAACGTTTTTCTAACCCTTGCAAAATGGGATGGAGGGTTGGTTATATAGAGGATAAGGGATAAGGCTTCTTGGAGAAGCCTCAAGAGGGGTTCAAAGCTTCTCAAAGAAGCTAAACCCAAAAGGGTCAAGCTTCTTGAGGAAGCTAGACCAAAAAGGGTCAAGCTTCCTCAAGAAGCTTGACAAAAGAGTCAAGCTTCCCTAAGAAGCTAAGCAAGAGGGTCAAAACCAACTTAAAAAGGTTAACAAAAGACTCAAAATCTCGGACATTGGGTCAAGTGCTTCACAGCTGGCACAGCTGTGTTGCACTTGAGAAGAGCAAAATGCAGAAAGTTGGCCGACCAGCTGAGGTGGCCGGCCGGCCACTCCCTTTGGTCGGCCGACCAGGGGTCAAATGGGTCAAGCAAAATTGCTGGTCGGCATACCCAGAAAGGTGGCCTCCCAGATGAGTAGAATACAGCTGTGTGGTGAAAAACCAGAAAAAGTGACCTAGGAGAGAGAAAAACCAGCTTTCAAGCATGGTTCAAAAGGGTCAAGATGAATTTCAAGCCGGCCTACCCATATTGGTGGCCTCCCAGATGAGCACAACACAATGGTGGTACGAAAAGCCAGAAAATGTGGCTCAAAAGTGGGAAAAACCAGCTTTCTGTCAGAAAAATCGACTTTTGGAGAGAGAAAATGAGAAAATTGGTTTTTCAGGGAAAAAGGTGGCCGGCCACCATACTGCCCCCTCCCTAACAGTGAAAATAGGGTCCCTACCAAAAATGGACCAAGACGGATGCAAAACGAAGGTTCGGGAGCCAAAACGCGCAGTCCGAGGCCCCGAAAATAGGCTGTTAGGCACCGGAAGTGGCGTATGACCACGAAGGTGGTCTCCCGGGCCACAGTGTCCCTCTAAAGAGAGGGAACAAGGTGTGTGCCAAAAATCGGAGCAAACGGAGGTAGTCAAGTGGTCCCGAACTGAGGCGCACGGCCGACGACTCCGAAAACCCGAAACTGGTCTCCAAACGAGAAAAATGGCCTACGACCACGAAACGTGGCCTACGGCCACTGAGAGATGGTCTACGAGACCTCTCCCTTCCTTCGGGAAGAGAAAGCAGAGAAAACAAGACCTGGTTCGCAAACCGAGGCAAAGCACAAAAGTGCCCCGAAGTTCGAAGGCAAGGCTCGCAGCCGAGACTCTGCAACCTCAGAACGAGCACAATATGCAACATCACCGAGCACTCAGTTGGTGACGTCTGAGTCTTAAGGTCGGTCAAAAATGGGGTGTCTACATGTTGCTATACTATAGTAAATGCATCATGCTTTAGTTGAAAATTTTCTTCTGATGTTATCCTGTGATTAAGTCCCTAACTTTTTTTAATGATCAGAATATTCCCATTTGATAAGTGTGATTAAATCACTGGTGAATTTTGAGCCTGACTACGTTAGGTAATTTCCAGATCAAGTTAGTAGTATTTAGGGTCTTATATTAGCTATTGATATAGAGGTTGTGGCATGGCGCGATGGAAAGTTCCATCCGTCTCCAGCTTTGTGGTGTGGGTTCAAATCACGGGAATCAAACCCTTCCACAAAAAATGGGGTTCCTAACCCTGCTGTAAGCAGGAATCTTGTACACACTAGATATGAGTGTATGACCTTTTCATACTAGCTATTGATGTTTTCATTAGTTTTTTTAGTTGCTATAGAAGCCAACTTGCACATTAAATATAAAATTTGGTATTGATTGAGGAATAATACGAGGGCACTTTCAAGGAAGCCACTAGGCTACAAAGTATGGGTGCGGGGGTACATATGCGGATAAGGGTAATGCTGATTTGGAAAAACCTTACATCCCAGCATATGCTTGTGAGTTCTCCTTTCCTGATGATGATGGAAATTCATAAGTTCACTAACCTTCCAGTGTTATATTATATACACTGAAATTTTATAGTGGTTAACCCAAGTCAGCTTGGTCATGGTCTTGAGGTTTAACTACTTGACAAGCTAGGCTGGGCTGGCCTGTCTCAAAACAATGTATGGAAGATATGTCTTAGATGATTTGGAGGTGAGCCTTAATGTGATTGAGAAGATTGAATATTGTTTTTGGGAAACTAAGGATAATTGGTACTCATAGCATATTTGTTAGTCTTTTCAGTAAATGCATGAAGTCTTTTCTTGTAAGTTCTTGCTTCCTCTATCACACTCAAGGTTCTGAAAAGCAGTTGCGGTCACCGTAACGATGACGGTGGCACTGTTGCTGTTGCGGGGTGTAAAGGCCGTAGCGTAACGGTTGTGGAAATCGGAACCGTGAATTTTTTTATTTTTCGCACAATTTGAAAAAAACTTACCGATACGCACATTTTTTTTCCATGATCATATTTATTGGGTTTTAAAATAAATATTGATCAATTTTTATAAATTTTTAAGTTTAATCCAAGATTTTAAAAAGCGGCCGCAACCGTTATGTAAGGCCGTTACATAACGGTTTTGGCAATTACCGCCACCCTTTACAGCCGCTTTTGCAGTGTGATTGAGATTCACAGGTGTGTTGGCCGTAGCGGCTGCCGTAACGGTCGTAACGGTGCCGTAACAGTCGTAACGGCATGTTACACACCGTTACGTAATGGTTCCAAACTATTTCTTTCGAAAAAAAACATACCAAAAAAAGCTGAAAATAGGGGAAGATGGATAGAGAGAAGAGGAAAGATAAAGAGAGAAAATGGGAGAGTAAGAGATAGAGAGAGAAGAGGGAAGATGAAGAACTTGTTCTTGATTTATTGAAGCTGTAAGACCTATGTTATTCTATTTAGCTGCTATCACTCAACCATTTTATTTGTGTGTGTCTATCTATATATTGTTTGAAAATAATAATAATAATAATAATAATTTATTATTATTATTATTATTATTATTATTATTATTATTATTATTATTATTATTATTATTATTATTATTATTATTATTATTATTATTATTATTATTATTATTATTATTATTATTATTATTATTATTATTATTATTATTATTATTATTATTATTATTATTATTATTATTATTATTATTATTATTATTATTATTATTATTATTATTATTATTATTATTATTATTATTATTATTATTATTATTATTATTATTATTATTATTATTATTATTATTATTATTATTATTATTATTATTATTATTATTATTATTATTATTATTATTATTATTATTATTATTATTATTATTATCAAACAATATATAGATAGACACACACAAACAAAATGGTTGAGTGATAGCAGCTGAATAAAATAGCATAGGTCTTACAACTTCAACAAATCAATAACATATTTTTCATCTTCCCTATTCTCTCTCTCTATCTCTTGTTTCTCCATCTTCCCTCTTCTCTCTCCATATCTCTTCCCCATTTTCAATTTTTTTTTTCTCTAAAGAAGCAATTCGGAGCCGTTACGTAACGGTGCGTAACAGGCCGTTACGGCACCGTTACGACCGCTATAGCAGCCGCTATGGCCGATACACCTGTGAATCTCAATCACACTGCAAAAGCGGCCGTAACGGGTGGCGGTAACTACCACAACCGTTAAGTAACGGCATTACGTAACGGTTGCGACCATTTTTTAAAACCTTGATCACACTTCATCATAAATTTATCGTTTTCTTATATTCAAGATTTAGATGTGTTTATGTTTTGATAAATTTCCTGAACTGGTTGCTACATTTTAATGCAACAGGTAAGGCTCGGAAAGAATGGTGTGGAGGAAGTCCTTGGACTAGGTCCCCCATCAGATTATGAGAAACAAGGTCTTGAAAGTTTGATGCCAGAGCTCAAAACTTCAATAGAGAAGGGAATTAAGTTTGCCAACCAATAGGGTGGAGTGGCCTCATGCTGTTATTGAGGTCGATTCTTTCTCACCGTAATTGTCACAATTTTGCTTCTATAATAGGGAATTTATTCACTAGTCAAATGATTCGCCTGTCTGGGTTGAGATGCTCACAGGCTGATTTTTGCTGGAATGGGTTGTTATTGACTCTTGAGGTCTCGTTAATAAGTTTCAGCGGCTTGTTTCTGTTCTTTAAATTAAATTATTACCCTCATCCAGGTTTGTTATTCTTACTTTCAAATTCTGCTTCTTGTTGTGCTCAACAAACATCGAGAGTCTTGATTTGAATGGAATGTGAAATGGCAGTTAGTGATTTTCTTTATGCAGCTTTGTGATATTCCTTTTATTTGATGAAATAGCACCTTTTTTTGGGGTTGGTACATTTGAGAAGAGGCCAGAGATATATGCTTGTAGTTCCCTGGAGGATTTTGATGTCTTGCATATAAAGTAAGAGGTTCGATATTGTAGTGTTATTGCATCAAAATTTGGCTTGTGAACCAGGTGAGCCGAGTAGAGTAGTAGGTTGTTCGAACTTGACATAAAAGCTTAGTATGTTTTAGAATGTATTTAGGCTTGGTTTATTTAACTTTGAAGTCAATTTCAGATTAGTTTTAATCGAGTTAATAATTGTTGAACTTGAGTAACGTAATTGCTTGTAAGCTTGGTTTGAAAATTTAATGAATTCGAAAATGTGTTCAATTTAGGTTTGTTTACATTGTGAAATGTATTATTAATGAGTTGAATAAGGATCAAGCTCCCTCAACCAATGGTTGGTTGATTACGAATTTGGTTTCATGGTCTTAGTTAGAATGAAAATACCTCTTTCAACTATTAATAAATATGATTTTATCTCTTCATTTATGAATTCTTATATTTTAACCTCATGAATTCTATATTTTTATCTTCTTAGGCTACTTTTAAAAACAAGTATTTATACAATTTTTATAATTTAGGATGTTAATATATACGGGATTATAGACGAGGTAATAGTTGTGAGGCTTTTGGTACTCTATAAATAATTCACAATTACTAAATCACAAATCACAAATCACAAGTCACAAAGTCCAGCCCCATATTCCTCAAGTACAGCTTTCTCTCAACTTGCTCAATGAGATTGAAAACCCTGGGAAAATACATTATTCTCATGCTTCTGGGTAGGAAAATTGGGTACAAATTGCTCTGTGCCAAAACCAGGAATTTATGGAATTTAAAGGGGATTTCAGTCATTGACTTCGAGCACAACTCTTATCCCTTCAAATTTGATTTCATACAAAGACTATTTCAAGATAATTTTCGGAGTTCCTCATGGTGAAAGATAAGGGAACCAAATTTCAAACCATTTTCTGCTGTTTGGGAGAGGTTTCTTGGTCTTTTGATCGAGTTCTATCAAGAGAAACCCTCTCTGCAGTTGCAGAATCCATTGGCGAACCTATAAAAATTGATCTGTTTGACTAGGGTTTGTATGTATTGGAATTGATCTTCGAAAGCCCTATGTTTAAAGTTTATTTTGAGTGGTATATGGGATTGAATATGAATCGATCAACTCATTTCTGAACATGTACGCACCCAATTGCTAAAATTGGAGAGGTTTGAAAGCTTCTTAAAATGGTATATGTTCTTCTCTCTTCTATTATCTTATTTTCTTTAATAATATTGCATCTTCAGGAAGAATATTAAGAAAATTACTCAGAATTTAGGGTGTGCATTTATATATATATATATTTGGTGATAACTAGGTATCAAGCCTAGTGGACCGATTAATTTGAGGGATCAATCTTATCATCTACTAGTGGTGCTTAATTAAAGTCGGGACAAAGTCTCGTATGAATTGACTAAAGAAATCATCTGAATTTAGGATGTGTACTACTTATATATCAAAACAAAATATATATATATATATATATACATTTTCGACATATATATATATATTAGGTGCATTTAAAATATAAAAAATTGACTAAATTGTGAAAAAAAGTTCACTAAAACAACAAAACACGGAAGGAAAAAAAAATTAGGTTGAGGGGATCAAATTGAAACACTTTTTATATATTAAAGACTATAAATTGACACAATTTAAAAAGAAGAACTTACTAGTAAATACTATACGCAAAGTTCAAAATCCATTTAGTCCAAAAATAAAATATTTGCGCCAATTAGTTCTACATATTTTTAATTGTTAACGAAAAAATCTTTTTTTGTTTTTTAAATTTACAAACGCTGCTATATTCTACTACCATCGGATTTTCATCAGACGGTCACCGGAATGTTCAATATCACCGAAAAGTCGACAGAATATCGCCAGAAGTTCACCGAAGTGTTCTGAACATCACTGGAAGTCACCGAAATATCCAAAACGTTCGCTAGACATTAAGCCTCCGTTTGGGAAGTGGGTTGGCTTTTTGGCTATTTTAGCATGGGGCTAAAAAGGCTGGTTTGGGAAGGACGTTTTGGCTTTTTTGACTTTTTTTGTGAGAGAAGAGTGTAATGATTATGGGTTAGATTTGATATTTTATTTTTTGTGGCTAAAATAGCCTATTTTATTTTTTGTGACTATATTAGCCCCTAACCCACCAAAACCAACTTCCCAAACTATGCCTTAGAATATTGTCAGAGATTTATTGAGCACTAGTTTTTTCATTGTTGTTACTTTACTTGTTACACACTACACTCCTTTATTGTTTGCAAAGCAATACTCTCAAAACATTTCACATATTGCTTTAATTGTCTCTTTCCATGTTTCATTAAATTTAGATTAGAAAAATATGCTTATTACAATATCAAAGTTTTTTGATTTTTTTTTTTTGAAAAAATAGTATCAAATTGGTTCACTTGTCCTATAAAATTAAACAGTCTTTCACTATCAAATTTTAATGCCTCCTCAAATGCTTTCATTTTAATGTCTCTCAACTACAACTCTCGAATGCTTTCATTTTTCAATGTCTCCTCAAATGTTCCAAATGGTACCGATTCTCCACAGTACCGATGTTAATGGGAAAAAAAAAATAAGAACAGTATTGACATTGAGATTAAATTGGGTTATAACCAATCACAAGCAAAAATTCAAAATTTCTATATATTGTTTCGTAACTGTACGTAAACCAATTTGATATATAGACCATGTTGTATTAGCCCTCTCAAGAACCTTTGCGGCCAAGCAATACAATTCCACACAGTGAATGTGCAGTTTTTCACTATGTAAACATAAAAAATCCTAAAACCAAATGACCAAGCAAAAGCTTCATACCCAAAAAAAAAAAAAAAGTGTGAAAAAGAGGATTGAGTGCTGTGTATACAATGATTATGAGTAAAAGATATAATTATAATTTTTAGTGTGTAGATTGAGAAAATTAATTAATAATCAAATTAATAAGTGTGTATACTGAGAAAAAATGTGTACTGAGATAATTAAGTATGTGGAAATAAAAAAATTTCAAAATATTATGTGTCCGTATTTCTAACCAATCATTATTTTTTATGCTCCTCATGTCTCTCAATTACTCAATACAATACTTTATCTACCCATCTTCTCTACTAATCATAATACTATCACGTATTTATATTTTAAAACAGCAATGATAAAAACTTTTTAGTGGTATTCTAAACAACACTAATAAGTTGGCGTCCAAAAAAAAAAAAAAACAAACTGTAACTGTGACAGTGAATGTGACTCACTGCCACATGATAGCACTAATTAGACTCACTACCGCATGATAGCACTAATTAATCATTTTTCATTTTAAAATTAGTGAATAATTACCTAGCCATCATTAGATAACACACTTTGCCTCTCCTCTTCATGGCTTCTTCATCTTCCTTCCCATTATCATTGAGAAACTCATCCACACACACATACAAATTCTTTCTCTTCTTCTTCTTCTTCGTCCTCATATTCTCTGCTTCAATCAAACATTCCAATGGATGCTACACATCCATCTTCAGCTTCGGCGATTCGATCGCCGACACCGGCAACTTGGCTCGCATCTCGGAGTCTCCTCAGCCTCCCCACTTCATGTTACCACCCTATGGTGAAACCTACTTTCACCGCCCTACCGGCCGTTGCTCCGATGGCCGCCTCATCATCGATTTCATCGGTACAATACAAAAACACGCACATACATACATATTCATATGCACAATTGCAATTTTTTTTTTTTTAAGCAGATGTCTAATTGCTTTTAGGAACTGGGTTTTTCTACAATCTTGTTTTGATACAATTTTTTCAGTAGTTTTTTTGGCGGATGAAATTATTGCTAAAACAGCTGGTGCCTTTGGCAAATACTGTAGAAGTTTTTTATTGTTGAGAAAGTTTACTTTTTAGTTGGTTTAGAGGATTTTATTTTATTTTATTTTGGGCTCAACTAACACTGAATGTTGTTTTACACTGTCAATTTTAAAATTATACATTTAGACTGTTTAATTATCGAAATTATTTCAATTTCACCGCACTAGAAGTGGGTCTTTGTATATATTTTCTTTAATTAAGGGGTCTAAATGTACAATCTTAAAGTTGAATGAAATAATGTGATAATTGTAATAAATATTTTTTATTTAAAAGAAATATATATATATATATATATAGCTTTGCTTTTGCTATTAGCTCTTTTTTTAGGTAATACGAAAAGTAAAACAACAACACAGATTTGTAAATGACAGGGTTAATCCCTTTCATATACAACTCTAAACATGTTAGTTATTAAAATGGGCCTTATCAAAATAAAGGAGTATTTGTAGATCTTCAAGTTTTTCACTTGATTTTCTTCTATATGAGCAAAAGGCATCTGCATACTAATTGACATCTCAAGAAATGTGCCCATTTGGAAGGTAGGGAATTAGATATCTTCCACAAGAGCACGGTAAGGGCAATTTGAGTGAGCTCCTCCATTGATGAGTTTGACAGCATCTTGACCGTTTGTTTCAATTACCACATTTCTCTAACTTTTCTTTTTTTTTTAATTTTTTAATTTTAATTTTAATTTTTATAAACGACAGTTGTTCTGTAATAAATAGCCCATATTTTTACTTTAAGATTTGTTGCTACATCCAACTTTAGTTCTTTGTTGATCAGTATTGGAAGGCCTCATGAATCTCTTTTGCTAGTAGCTCTTGCTAGTACATTAGGGCCATGTTTGTTTGAGTGGACATGAGCTTGGGATTGGACTAATAGTCCAATAAAATTATTAATCCAATGTTTGGTTAAACAATTGAACGACAGTTGTTCTGTAATAAATAGTCCATATTTTTACTTTAAGATTTGTTGCTACATCCAGCTTTAGTTCTTTGTTGATCAGTATTGGAAGGCCTCATGAATCTCTTTTGCTATTAGCTCTTGCTAGTACATTAGGAGCTATAGCTTTAGCAGAGTATTTACTAAAGCAAAAAAAAATTTAGAAAAAAAAAAAAGTAATCTTTTAACACTTCTGACACAAAGAGGGTGAGTTTTGTCTGAAAAATAATTATCTTTTCTTTTTGTCTTCTAAATTGTCTGAAATCAAGCAATAAATTTTATTTTATTTTTTATTTTGGGCTTAAATAATTAAAAAGTAATTTTTTTGTATTTGAAATTTTGTGCACTGATTTTGCAGCTGAGTATCTTGGTCTACCATTGGTGCCACCATATTTCAGTGGGCAAAATGGAAGGTGTGTGAATTTCCAAGGTGTGAATTTTGCAGTTGTGGGTGCTACTGCTCTGGATAATGACTTCTTTGAGCAAATAGGAATTCACAATCCCTTAACAAATTGTTCTTTGGGAAATCAGTTGGATTGGTTCAAGAGAATGTTGCCATCTCTTTGCCACACTCCTTCAAGTAAGTTTTCTATATATGCATATGTATGTATCTGTATCTATGTATATATGTAAGTTCTCTCCTTTCCAAATTCATGTTGAAGGATTATTTTTTATTTTTATTTTTCTTTTATCAGAAAAGGAGAATGTATGAAGCCCCAAATTAGGTAACATCTGAAAATAATAGTGTCATAAGAGGGCTAAGGGGATACACATTCCACAAAGGGGAATATGTTGAAGGATTATTTGTTCTAAAAATTTTTAAAATTATTTATTTATTTTTTTTAAATCTTTCTAAAAATAAAAATAAAAAAAACACGTAGTTATTAGCTCAGGTGAGAATCCTACAATAAAAAATCTCAAGACATAATCAATTAAACAAAGTAACAGAGAGATCTAGAAACAGAAAATCTTGTATTCAAATTCACCAACTCATTGAGCGCTAAACAAACATAACTATTGCCTGAATGAATTTGGTCATTAGATCTCATAGAAAAATATTTGTGCTTTGTAAAATTCTCTTACATAATAATTTGGCTTTCAACAATGATAGAGACCACTAATTTTGGAATTCTAAAAAGACCACTAATGACATGGCACTCAATAAAAAAAGAAAAAAAATACGACAACAAGGCCAAAATATCAAATCATTCCTGGTGGAGTCCACTGTCACATTATTAGTGATAGTACTAATTAGTGCTCTCACTCATTTTCCTTTGGCTTTTACTGTGTTTTACTTTATCATAATTTTAAAAATATGTCAGTCAAAATTATTTTGAGAGTAATATTATACAAATTAATAAATTTTATAAATTAGATTATTTTTATTTATTGATGTGACACCTCATATTATTAAAGTAAGTCATATTTGAAAATTCAATTTTTAATTTTTTTTTTCATGACATTATAAGTAATAAGAAAAAAGTTTATAAAATGTTGAAGTAATGGACCATCATTATGAGGTTGAACACTTGCATCATGGGGTTTGGGGTGGGCTGGGGTGGGGTGGGCAATGCAATGTAAAAGCCCATCTCCATCATCATCTTTAGAGTGTGTTTGTTTTGAGAGATAGGTGTCAGAACTCGACTAATAGTGATAAGGGCATAATAATTATCATATTTGTTTTTAAAATAGACCACAAGATTCATAGTCCCTCAAGACTACGAAAGGTTTTACATAAGAGGACCAGTAGTGGTGTAAGGGAGGCGTAGGGATGTAAAAATGGCTCGCAACTTGAGATAGGCTCGACTTGGTTAAGCTTGAGCCTGAGCCTAGCTCAAGACCTTGAGCCTGGGCCTGGGCCTGGGCCGTCATTTTAAAGTTAGACCAACTCGTGGCCTCGCTTAATGTGCACTCAAAGTCTAGCTTAAGGCTCTGCTAGCCCGAGCCCTGATGTTATTTTTTGTGAAAAAGAATGAAATTTTGATGAAAAAAATAGAAAAAAATGTTTAGGCTCGTCTTGGCCTGGCCCAAGCTCGAGACCAGGCCTAGGCTCGCCGGCCTGTGCAAGGCTCGAATACCCTCTGGGCCTGGGCCTAATTTTCTGGCCGTGGCCCGGCTTAAATTTTGACAGAAGCCTGCGCGGCTCGGCATGGGCCGGCATAAGCTCGGGCTTGGGTGGGCGGGGCCTGGGCCGGCATAAGCTCGGGCTTGGGTGGGTGGGGCCGGGCGAAATTTACATCCCCTAGAGAGGTGGTATTCAAAAATGAATCCCTTAGGACTATTGGTTAATTTACTATTTTACCCTTGTGTTTATTGCTAAATTTATTACTATGATATTCAATCTCAACATTTATTAATATTTTGATATTAATAATTTAATTTAAAATTAATTTTTTATAAATATATATATTTTATTAAAATAATATAGTACCAAAAAAATATATATATTTATAAAATATAATTTTTAATATTAAAATATATATAACACATCAAAGGGTATTTATGGAATTTTTAATATAAAATTAATTTTTATAAATATATTTTTTAATATTAAAATGTAATAATATATATAATAATTTATTAAAATTATATGTACCAAAAAAATATGTATTTATAAAATATAATTATTAATATTATATATAAATATATAAAACATAAAAATGTATTTATGGAATTTCATATAGGTAATCCCATCATAGAATGACAAAATAAATATTAATTCTTACTAGCTCAATGATCATAAAACAAACACAATATTTTTTAGTTCTCTCATTAACAATCTCTTTACTAATAATTTCCACACTAAGAACCCCAAAATAAATAGTAATTCTTACTAGCCCAATGATCATAAAACAAACACAATATTTTTTAGTTCTCTCATTAACAATCTCTTTATTAATAATTTCCACACTAACATTGTGTTTGAGAACCTATGAGAGAAAAGAAAAGAAATGATTATTTAAGTAATAAGAGAAAAAGAAAATAAAAGAAAAGAAATGATTGTAATTTTTCTCATTTTTGTTTGGATGAGGAAGAAATAAAAGAAAAGAAATGATTATGATTTCTCTCATTCTTGTTTGGTTAGATTTCATTAAGAGAAAAGAAAAGAAAATAAATTATTTTATGTTATATTACCAAAATAACCTTTTTATATTTTCAATCATTTTATTTTTTTTTTATTTTTATAGGGACAAAATTGGTATTATGAAAATAGTGATTTTTTTTCTCTCCCAATCTCTCCACTTTTGAGAAGATTGAAAATGAAGCTTATAAGAGAAATGAGTTTCTCTCAATTTCTCTCAATTTCTTTCTATTTCTCTCCATTTAGATTATCTAAACAAGTAAGAGAAATGCATATCTTTCCATTTCTTTTCTTCTTTCTCCAAATCACTCAATCCAAACGTAGCCTAAGAATCCCATCTAACCTAACTCTGAAAATAAACGGGTTATACGTATGGAAGAAGTCAAAGGTGGAAAAATTTATAAAAATGTTTGTTATATACACTGAATATAGAAATCTGATTAGGTATGGACTCTTTTTAAAATTCATGTGTTGGATATGTAAAAGTTATTCAAAGATGTTGTCAATCATAGTAAATTTCATCATATTTCTTGAGACTACTTACCTTGGACCACATTTACAAATTATTATTGTTATTTTTAACACACTATATAATACTAAAATTAGTTTCACAATCTTGAACCCTAACTCTATCCCCTTATCTCACCTTCCATCCACTACTACGAACTCCACCTCTCTTTAGCCCCTTTTGCCACCCTCAACCCCTTTCCACCTCTGGTGCTAACCCTAGTTCCTCTTTTCTTCCTGTGTCGCACCCTACCCACTTCCATCATCGTTTCGCTCTAGCTTCTTCGCCCTGTTGTGATTTTTACCCTCATAGTCCTTTGCCCCTCGCAGTCTCTGTCTCCATCTCCATTGAGCACTATTGCGATCCTAACCTTACTGCCATTTTCCTCGCTACTGCATAGTTGTTCTTTCTCACGGTCAATCTCTCTCTCAATCAATCTCTTTTACGCTCTCTAGCTCATATGTGTTGTAGAGGTGATGAAGTTATAAGGTAGAGAAGTGGGTGTGAATGGTAAAGATGGATTGAAAAGGGGTGGACAAATGTGGGATGAGTTATCGGAGATGGGAATGAACGAGAAAAAAAAGTAACTAGAGCTCGTGTAGTTGGGTGAGGCTTGGGTTAGGTTTACAGTTAGGATTTAAGAGGTTATGATGGGATACATTTGTAATTAAAAAAAAATATAATGAGACGAAGTTTCAAAAGTATAAAAAAGAAGAAATTACAATTTAGCCTATATTTTCAAAATAAATTTTAAATTAATGATAAAATTTATCAACTTTAATAATTGAAATTCTAAATTTTTCCATCACTTTATATATATATATATATTTGTTGTTGTGATCTTCCAACTAGTTCACAATTTCTCCTTAACAGTAAATTACAGTGACACCCCCTGAGGTTTGTTCTTAATACATATGCATCCCTTATGTTTCGAAAATAACATTTCCCTCCTTGTGGTTTGCAATCACATTACAACTTACTCCTTTTGTTACTTAACAGTTGAGTTAGCAAATAATTTTTGCTGGACCTCAACAACTAAAATTTTTAAATACCAAATTTACCCTCAAATTGAGTTAACTCGTTAAGTAGAGAAATTGTTTTATAAACTCACCACATGACTATCATCTCCAAGCAGAGTGTCACCTTTTTTTCTTCTCCTTTTACCTGCTATTTTGGCCACTTCTTTTCACCACCATTAGCAATAAGGTATTACACATCTACACATCTTCAACCTACTATTAACACCGTTGTACAGAGACGCTAGGTGAACACCACTAATTTGGAGGCTTGTGTTTGATCTATATTGGGGTTTAATTTACATTGTGGAGGAAGAATGTGGGTGATGGAGGAAGTATAGAAAGGAGTGGTAGTGGTCAGCGATAGAGTGAGGGTTGAGGAAGGATGAAGAGGGGTGGGTTGTTAGTGGATTTAGTCAAGGATGGAGTGGGGGTGGGGAACTGTCGCTTGTGGAGAAGACAGGAGGGTCACTGGGATGACGTGAGAGTGATGGGGTCACTGGTATAGAAGTGTTGGGTTTTATTTTTGGCAATTCCGTTTGACAAAACTCCTTTCAATTGTATTTATTTTCGCACTTTTATTTCAGTGAGACTATGAGCGTTTAGATACGAATCCAACCCAAATTGTGCCTTTCAGAGAAGTTTGTGATGCTAATGCTTTCAAGATTGCCACTTCGCTAATTATGACGGGGATCGAGCTGCCCGGTCAGCTTGCGGGGGTCCAGGGAGCGGCGCCCCTTGGCGGGTCCGGGGTAGCGCCACGGCGGGGTCGAGGGGCAGCGCCCCCGAAGCAAAATGTAAAAATGCATTCCAAGTTGCCTGTCCGCTCGAGCGGACTTGACCCCGCTCGAGCGGAGAATGCTGGGTTTCAGAAGTTTGTCAGGTCTGCAAAAATACTGGAAGGTGTGATTTCGCGCTCGAGCGGGTTCTCCAGCGCTCAAGCGGACCTCTGTTATATCACACGCAGATTTTAC